CCCCTTAATAATAAAAACCTTCATTTAAAAACTGCATTTTGTGTTTACTTGTGTTATCTTTGTCTAATATTTAAATTTGTTTGATCTGAAACATTTAAGTGTGACAAACATGCAAAAAAATAAGAAATCAGGAAGGGGGCAAACACTTTTTCACACAACTGTATACAATCTCTTCATCTCCTGCATAGTGAAAGATAATAAGGATTTCTTTCTTGTTATGTCAGAGCCAAATCACCGTGATGGATGCACCGGTCTTCAAGGCGATACATCCAGAGGTAAGAGAGACTCGTGTTGTCAAGTGGTTGGTCTCCTGACCGTCATTTCCACTGCCAACTCCCAACACCACATTCTCACCTTGGAGGAAAACCAAGTTTCCAGCTTTGGTGCACAGATAAAGGGGTTCTGGTAGTTCATATAAATTCCATTTTTATATCGTTCACTAATTATCTTGGTAGTGTCTTCTGAAGAGGAGCTTACGGTACAACAATAATCTGTGAATGACCCAATCTCGGTACTTATCGCCTTTGGTCTGACGATGATTTCGGGGTTAAGGGGCCATATTTATAGGGTTCTGGTGTAGCCAGCACATATCCGGGTCAAGACTTCCTTTTCTGTGCACTGCTTATTGCTTACAGTCCGATTAGCAACTTGAAATGCGAGACTGGAGTTGCAGTTGAGATACCTTGTGTATGACGGGATTGTTTCACAAGTAGCCAGTTTGACAAGCTAATTCTAAACCAGTAAATAGCAAAAGTATCGTAGCCGATGGGTTCTGAGATTGCATTTCGACCAATGGCTACAAACGGAAGCCAGAATGCTTCCGATATCAAAATCTTCTCTCTGTCCTAATATGCAGAATCTGTTTATAGAGGTCATGATTGACCCATCTCAAACTAGTGGTGTAATGGACCACTGTCGATCCGTGATCGGTACGGATCCCCACTCGCGGCTCGACACGCATGTGAACCGCGGATTAATAACACAGTTTAACGTTAACATCACAGTGTGTAATCCAGTTTTACTTCAGTAAAATATGAGATCAGGTCATCATTTATGATTTTCTAGTCACTCATCTCTGATGACAGGAGGAGAGCTGGTAACAAAGGTTCAGTTACATTATGATGCATTCAGGCTCTGTTCAGTGAAAGTGAGTATTGAGTTTTATGATCCGTTGCACCACTATCCCAAACCATCTGTCAGTCATTTGTATCAGATTCTAAATGTTTGCAGGGAACCCCTTTAGAGATCTGCCCCTCTTCACAGAAGGATTCCAGTCCTCCTGTTTCAAATACTTCGAATGCCTTTACAGCTGTTGCCACTCAGCTGAACCCAGACAGGCCTTAGCGGTTGAACTCTCCACTGGAACCCAGCTTACCCTCTGTTAGTCAATGAAATTCCAGGCACTGCTCTGGCCTGAAGGATTTCCTTCCCACCACAGGCTCTACACAGACTGTATGCAGGGAAGAGAACCAGGCAGAGACATTAGGGACTGACGGATTAGATATGAACACGATCAAGCCCTCTCATTCAACATGGTCTTTTATTTCTAAGAATGGAAGTGTCGAGCATACTCTTAAGTCCAGCACAGTCCAGTGCAAGTTCTCATCGCTGAAATTTTGATTGGCGCAAAGTAAAAAGCGAGGGAGTTTCCAGTCGCTGATGGACGGCTGTCAATCCCTGCTGTTCTATTAAATCGGATCCCTGGTTCATGTTTCAGAGAGAAGACCAGGGTCAAACAGTGGGTCTGTACTGTGTCGTTAAGACCATGTCCGCTACCATTCTAATGATTTCTTGATTTGCCATCAAATTTGAACAGAAATGCTTGACCCCCGGAGGATAACTCCTACTGATGTCGGTGATCCCCTGACCTTTCACTTAACCTCAAGGTGGTGCTAACATTTGTGGTTTAGAGTGAAATGTCTTAACAATTATTGGATGGATTGTCATAAAAGTTTATACGGACATTTGTCTCTCTCAGGATGAATTGTAATAACTTTGGTATTACAATTTGTTAAATATACTCTTTATCTTGCGTCCTAATTAGGTCTAAACCCTAATTTGTCCTATACTTGGCTTATGACCAAATGTATATCAAAGCTGTCCCATCAGCCTCAGCTGTACTTTGTGTTAAAGGGTTTACAACTTTTTAATAATGAACGAATAAATAAAGGCTATTCAAATATTAGACATCTCTTTCCCAATGCAAGTCTATGGGATGGTATTGGTCCTTAAATCAGTCTTGCTTAATGTGATTTTGTGATTGGCAGGAGCTGGCCAGCTGCGGATGGAATGGGAAAGAGAAGCACAGTTTGTCCCCTAATGTGGTCGCCTTCACGCGCAGGTTCAACCAGGTACGTCTTTTCATGGCTTCATCTCTTCCATGAGTTTTATGTGAAATCCTGCTAGTTAGTGAAACCGATAATGAGTACAGCACATGTTGGTCTCAAAGGCCTTAATTAATTAAAGCTGTTCCAGTGAGCCAATAGCATCATTCTCTGCTTTATAGAAGAAGGTGGCAACCCTACAGGGAAACTATTCCTCTACTTGAGCATAACCTAAAGAAGCTCATTGATGGATTCTGTTGCTGTTGGTTTGAACCCGTAGACTGTATATAAGAAGGATATCTCAGCAACGCCAGGCAGGAATTTCGGTCCGCTTGGACGCAAGAAGGAATTGATTAGATTTTGGTGGTTAAAGGGGACTGTGACCTCACATCCGACCCCATTTTTTGAACGTGATATGTCTGGAACATCTGACAAACATCCACTAGGACTCAAGACTTTGGTGGTCAAACGTCACTGTGATTTTTAAATCACGTTTTTGGCCATATCTCAGGAATTGATATGCTAATTAAAATGATTTCACACAAATGTAATGATGTACTTTTGGACAGACATGGATGTAAACGGCAACTTCACTGGTTGGCGGAGTTCTAGAACCGCAAGGTTGTGATTCTAGTTTTAATGTGTTTGTGTGTTGTTGTGTTCCAGGTGAGCTTTTGGCTGGTGAGAGAACTCTTAACCGCCCACACGCTGAAAATCCGAGCAGAAATACTGAGCCATTTTGTCAAAATTGCCAAGGTGAGTTGAAACATATTGCTTAGTAATATATACGTTATTTGTAAGTTATTCTTGCAAATAACTTTGAAACCAGTGGACAGAAATATGTTGTCTATTATGTTACAGTAGCAATTGCTCAACGTGATGTTTGGTGAGCTTGTCAGTGCAATAGGAACATCCATCATCAGACATGGAAACGTTTGTAGAAATGGAAGCCAACAGCTGTTAAAGTCTTTTTATTTCATGGGTCACTGTCAGTTGTTTGTAATGCAATTGCAACAAAAAAAAATCATTTACAGTTTGTGAAGCTGCAGCATGAACGAGCTGCCCAGGTACTTTATTATACTATATAGGGAGTGATGGGGAAAGCAGACACTGATTGCAGAAACAACATGGCCTTTCTCCTCTTGTGGTCTGAGCAGGGAGTAATAGCAGAGGGAGTTTTCCCATGAGGCCAGAGCTTAGGATGGAAAGGAAATGTGGAGCCGTGACATAGTGTTCTTGGCAACTAGCACAGATATTGATGAGCGAGGTAAAACTATTGAAACACGCTTTGCACCTGGCTGTGACCGTTCACAAACGTATGTGTTAATGGAGTCCATTCCCAGGACACCTAATCGTAGAACATGAGGTCGGGTGATCAGGTTGATTGGGCTACATCAGCGGTGAACACCTGTGTTTCCATTCAATCGTCAGGCAATTTTAAGCAACGTTTTTAAATATGTCCCAAAAAATAGAAGTGTGATACCATCCTGATGGAGTGGATAAACTCTGCTACAGCGTAGTTTGGTCAGAAGTTGGCGCTATAGGCTACACATGGCTGTAATCTGCCAGTAAACAGAGTAGAAGAAGAAGAGGTTGTGCACTGTAAACTAAACAAGTCATCTTTTAACCAGCTAACACACGTACGGGAGACAATGGAGAGAGCCCTTTAGGAACTTGTTTCAGTCGGGCAAGTTCTATTTGTGCTTTCATGTCAGCTAGTATTGTCCATGTTTCACATCCTAACCCCTAAACCAAGGGAGTGTTTTTAAAGATGTATATGTGTTTTTTACAGGTGCATTTTTCACAGTGCCAACAGGCCGTGAAAGTTTTTCGTGAAACCTTGGGTAATACCGTACTTTGCATGTTGTTCATGAAATCTCTGTTTGTTCCCAGAAACTGTTTGAGTTGAACAACCTTCATTCTCTGGTGTCAGTGGTGTCGGCTCTGCAGAGCGCTCCCATCTTCAGACTCAGCAAAACCTGGGCGGTAAGACAACCCGGCAAATCATTATAATGACTACATTTTGAATTTGTACAGTGAAATCATCTGTGCGTTGATAAAAAGTAAAATAATCAAACTTTACACATTTAGGCTTTTAGTTCTCCAGTCACCAAAAGAGGAAAAGCTAATGTTTCATTTACCTATACAATTAGGGATGCACCTTTCCCACTTTTGCATTCCTGATACCGCTACTTGGGCTTTAGATATCATCCGGTACCAAGTACCGATTGGACACCAATGTTAAATTAATGAGCAGGTGTTATGTAGGAGTTATGTGCCTCAGGTTCGACTTAAACATTGCTTTCCGAACTTTGTGAAACATGTATGCATACATATAAATACATGGTAGTGTTGCTTATTCAGTTGCTTATTTAATGTGTATGATACCAGATTGGCCTATTTTCAGCACTAGTCAGTGTCGGACCGATATCGGTATAAGTTTATCTCTACAGGAAATGATCCTTACATGGTGCTCTTCCTGTGATTGGTTCTAATTGTGTTCACCTTTAGAAATGAGCTGCTGCAGAGTTCACTCGACAGCGGTCAGAGAACATCCCTTCGAGGCGGACCAAAATTCGGTTCAGTTCAACTGGACTAAACTCGGCTGGTGTGAACGTGCTGATAGTCGCTACATGAATGTCTTTTATAAAACCAGTGGTCTTGGGGTCAGATTTGCTTACAGTATGTGCAGTGGTTCTTCAGGCCAAGTATCTGGATTGTGAACAGTGGGGGAAGCATAATACTCTGCTTAATAGATCAGAAAACTTTGTTGGAAGTTGTCGGTGGATCAGATCTTAGTTCCTTGTGGCCTCGGATGAGCGCCCCTCAGAGGAAATAGAGATGACGTGTGCTGCTTGGCCGTCCGCTCAAAGTGAATTCTATGTTCCACTCACATCTGGCTGGCCGGTAGCCTTTTATTTTTCTGTTTCGTGAGCTGTGAGCCCTTATGAGCCATTCCCCTCCCGGCCATTAAAATGCAAAGTATTTGTTCCTGGTTTTAATTTTTGAACATGAATCAGGATTTTACAATGCTGGATAAAGGACCATGTAAAGTGTATGCATCAGCGCCAAGACGTGGAGAAATACGAAAGGAAGGCTGGCTGCTGCTGATTAGATGTTAGAAAGCAGTACAGAGAGACATTCACTGTACCAGCAAAGAGTGAGAACACTTTAATAATCACTCCTATTGCCCATTTAGTGGATGTATTAGCAGGCATGCCAACTTCAATCAGCTAAGAGGAGACATTTGAATATGTTCTCTTTAGAGCCTGCTCACTTTTACACCTTTATATTTGAACCAGCTTCTTGGTCCAACCAAGTTCTAAAGGTCTTGATTCAGAACTATGAGGTTGATGATTATTGATCTCATGTTAAGTTTAACTGGTGTCCAATTTCTTTGATCTTCAGTTGGTAAAATGAGTGTTTAGTCTTTAAAATGTCTGAAAACGTTATCAATACCCATCTTCAATGTGATGAATATGTTTCCAAATAATTCTTCAACACCATAATAGTTGCTGATTCATTCTTTGGCAATCTATTAAGCAACCAGAAAAACAACAATAACCAGTCAAAAAGACACCAACCCTTCCTGATGATACAGATTCTCTTATAAAGGCATAAATAATAAAGGCATTCAAAGATTATTCTTTTGGCCTTTGGGCATGTTATTTAATGTGTTATGTTGATGTTGATTAGCTACATCTGATATAATATTGGAGGAGAAAGGCAGTCAGTTGGCAAATCGCCTTTGCTGAGGAGAGAAAGGAAAGCTTGTCAGCGGGAGAGTATTCCAGGAGACGGAGGAGCCCGTGTGAGTTAGAACATAAACTACTTTGACATTTTCTTGTTTCTGGACATACTGTAAGTCTGATTGACCCGCCAAGCCCCCCTTTTCAGTTTTCTTCTGTACAGTTGATGGAAACCAATACCACTCAGTCACTTACTTTGTGCCTGAGCAAAGGTATTGGGTCACATATTGGCAAGAAAGAAAAAAAACAGGTTTTGCCAAATGAGTTTGAACTGCTCAGGATGATGCACTGCAGAGCTCCTCTGACTCACTGTACATGAACGGAGCCTAATTAGCTGCTGCAGTCTAGTGAAGAGGGAATGAACTACCAGCTACAAACGGGGTTAGGGAACACAGGCTGCTTTAGTTTGGTTGGGGTAATATATCATAATATGATGTCTGTGTGTTTACCACTCGGGTAATAGTAACAATTTGATTAAGTAGCACCAACTAAATATGTGTGATCGTTCTTCTCTGTTGTAGCTGATCAGTCGGAAAGACAAGGCCACATTTGAGAAGCTCAACTATCTGACATCCAAGGAGGAGAACTACACCCGCATGAGAGAATACATCCGCTCCCTGAAGATGGTGCCCTGTATCCCGTACCTCGGTAAGTCCTCCATCTCTGCCGCGATGTTCTTTCACCACACCCTGCTTTAAACCACTTCAAACATCTTACACGACTAGTCTAAACTCCAGTTGGCAGTTTGAAGCCCTGCATACATAGATTGTTTTTTTTTTTTACTTAAGATGGAATTCCAGTCCGCACAAAACCAAACCATACAAAATACAAGTAGAATACGATTCTATGTTTCTACAAAACATCCTTCTACAGAGCACCGTCACTGAGACGTTGTTGTTCAGTATTAGTGTTTAGTTGCACGGTCCATGATGTAAGTCCAGGTGTTGTTGAACATTTGCACATTGAAATTTGCATTGACGACAGTAATAAGCTCAACCTCTGCGGCGTTGCGGTCATGCTGTTATCATCCCAGTCCTGGTCTTGGCCTTCAGAATCTATAGTCAGACCTGTCATGGCTCGGAGGACGTAAGTATTTTGGCACAATATGAAAAGAATGAATCCCTGTTTTTGCTATCTTTGCCGCCATCTTGTCTGTAAGGGAGCAGGGAGTGACATTTGAGGGAGATTCAGGTCTTCTTCGTTGGGGGGGGATTGCACTTTACTAATACTTGGACTGGAGCACACTGGTGTCAGGTCTTGTTATCGATAACTCTTTATAGTAAGGGTACAAATCATATTCTTAAGTAATGCTCGATGATGAATAATTGCAGGATGCATCATAAAAACATGTTGCCCACCATTAAGAAATGATAAATTCAGTATGACTGAGTGTACACTGAAGAGACGATCAGTTAAAGAATGTTCTCTCTAACTTCATACAACAATTGATATGCCACCAAAATGAAGTGGACCCATGCATCTAACCGGCTTCTCAGAACCGTGTTCATCAAAAAAACAGCTTATGGTTTATTAATATATCAAAATATTACTGGCTGCAGCGATTTGAGAGCTACTGAATCACTCTAGAGCACGTTACTGGTTGCAAGTGTAAAGTGACTCTGCTCTTTCGTCCACACTCATAATTCATGCTTTCCTCTATTGTCATGCCTTGCTGTTTGTCTTCACGCTTTTGGTTTTCTGGGCTCGTGATCTCAAAGTGGAACTGATTGAAATGAGATCACTGGAGACATGCACAGAGTTGTACATAGTTTATTGTAAGTTTGATAACATACAGACTATAAAAAAATAATTTGAATGAGACAGCATATATATATATATATATATACACAGAATACCTGGTACATACTGTATCTGCACATTAATGCAGTGACTGATATTGCCAACATACCATGAAACCGTTGGGTAGAGGCAATAACTGAGCTGTACACACTGAACTGTTCGGTTACTGTTTGAATGTACTGTAGCTGCTTTTACTTAGAACACCTGCAGTGAAATTGTATTTGTTAAATGTTTTTGTAAATCCTGTATACATTCAAAGGCTTTATTCGATTTCACACTGTCCATATTAAATGGACATGGGGGCAGGTCCTGTTATCTTGGTGCTGGTAACTTACAGTGGAAGTAATGGTTCAAGAGGTACAGAGCTGTGGTTAGCCTAGCTTAGCATAAAGATTGGGAATGGGAGGAAACGGCTAGCTGGGCTCTGACCACAGTAAAAAAAGATACCTACCAGCACCTCCAAAGATCACTGATTGACCCGATGACCATCCGCACTTCTTTGCTCTGGCTATGGTTTGACATGTACAGTACAACAGAGTTAGTGCGTGTATTTTTTAACTTTGGATGAAGTCAAGCAAACTGTTTCCCCCCCTGCGTCCAGTCTTTATGCTAAGCTAGGCTAACAATGTCCTGTTTTTTCAGTCGAGAGATTTTGTGTCCCGTTATGGTTTCATGCTAGGAAGAAAAGGTATATTTAAAACACGGATGCCTTTCTGAGAATAGAGTTGTTGAATGTAAAGTTAATAAGTCGTGGCACGAAATATCAAGTACCAGACTCTTCAGTACCAAGACATTTGTAATTTGTAGTAATAGAACAGCGGCCCCTTCAATGGTTGATCAGGATACAGGGAGGAAGATCATCTCCAAGGGGCCTTTCTGCTCAGTTAGTGGAAATACTAACCTGCAACTTCATATCTCACATTAAACAACTATCAAGCATTACAGTCGATTCAGTTCAAGAACATGCATAGTGTATTCAGTGGTAAAGGTAGCTGTAAAGTCCACACTCCTGCTATTTAGATTGAAGAAAAATTGAGCTGTTGAACTTTGTTTGCATGTTGAACTTTAAACTTAGTCCTCATGCTAAGTGTTCAGAAGACTTGCAACCAATTGTTTTACTAACTATTGTCAGGAACATTTTATCAAAATAAATAACCAGATTTCTCTCCTGTAGAATTGATCCCAATATATATTATACGTATATAATATAAGCACCTATAATAAATTGGAAGTACCAGCTATACCTCTACCTGTAGAATGAATAAAATACAAATTAAAGAATGCATGGATCCTATCGCATCACTGCAGGGGCCTTTGCAATTTGAAGCTACATTGTGAATATAAGGCAACCAACAGGAAAAAAGCAAAGAGTGCAGATCAAATCAAGGATTTGTGCTTTTTGTGATATAGAAAGGGAAACCCTCTGATGTTTGCCCAGTAAAATCTCTTGCGTTTTGAGTGACTGAAGTGTTAATGGAAGGTGTTTGCATTGGGTCTTATCATCATGGTCACTTTCTTCAGAGAATAGGCTCCTCCTCTGAACTCGGCCCAGTAGACCCCGTCCTGGTAACGGCTGCGGTAGTGCCCACCACGGTACCACACGCCATTCAGGTTGGAGTGAGCACAGGCGTTGTACCACCATCCTCCCTTCTGGTAGTGGGCACAGTTACCTGGAGACACAAGCAATCAAATCAGACCACCTGAAATACTCACTCTTCTGGGTCAGGGGTCCGGGCAGTGATTGATCATTAATCATTGAGTCCAACAATGGACCGCCCTGCTGTTTTCATCAAATTCCTGCATAATTGGCTTTTCTGTCCGTCTTCATTGGGTCTGTAACAGTAAAGCTCTCAGCATGCTACAGTCGGCGACCCGCCAGCCGTCTCCTCTGCGGTTGAGTGTGTGTGCATCACTTCATGTGTACATACTTGCACCAGTCATACTCTTTTCCATATGCGAGTTGTCATTGCTCTACAAATGTTGGACAAATCTACAGCAACCCACCAGTAGACCATAAGACAGGAAGAAAGCAAGAGCGGAAAGTGTCGTATTGATTCATCATTGTGGGTATTAAAGAAACCATGGATACAGCCAGTTATGTTTTACCTAGTCTCGCATAGCCAGACCTATCTCCAACCAATCACAATCGTCGCACGGAATGCAGCGACGATGCCATTAAAAACAAATACCACAGATAGCAGAGAATTCTGCATGAGATACGCGGCCAATGGCAGAATTGTACCCAAAGTGTATCCTGTGACTCAGACTGTTTTCCTTTCCCTCATTCAAAGACAGGAGTGGCATATACAATATGTGGCTGGAACTACTGTGGAGACTGTGCGATGTATTGAATCAGATACCAAAATGTAAGCAAGTGAAAGCCCACCAACAGTTCTGAATGCCTTCTCTTGCACTGCATTCCACTCACCTGCGTAGACATCATGGTCTCTGTCCAGTGTGGTGAACTGCTTGCCGTTGTGCCAGGTGAGAGAGTCTCCGGCACTGCCGTGGTATCGGCCCACTCGCAGCCTGTAGAAGTCGGCCTCAGACTCGACACGGAAGCTGGCGTACTCCGCAAAGGTCTTGCGTCCGGTCCAGTCTTCCAGAGTCACCAGTAGCTTGTAGGTGCCCTGGTTGGTCAGCCAGTAGATGTTCTCCAGGCCCAACCAGTATTCGCCATCAATATTTCCAAACCCTTGCTGTGAAAAGAGAAATACATTTAACCAGTCAGGCGTAATCCATTCCTACTGTTCCTAACACATGATTTAACGTTGACAAGAAAGAAGCTGTTTCTCCTCCCATTGGATACAGCCGTGGCCTTCCAACAACAAACCGCCCATGTTTTCCAAGCATCTGTGAAAGACTGGTATGATGTTGGAGCGAGAGGCCGAGAGCAATGGCACAATGGCAGGTCACGTTTAAGATCCTCTCCACCAGAGCTCAGTGTATCTGAATCACTGGTTTCAATTACATCACACATGGGTTCACTCAGGAGGGAGTCCTCGTCCCTGCCAAATGTGAGCATGTAATTGGCTTTAAGTGCCTTGTTAACTCATTGAGGGTGGGTTGGGGAAGGATTGGATCGGGGGACAACTTGGAAGTATTACCCCCTGCTTTGGTCTTGAGTTTAAAGTACTGAGAAGAGTATCCATATTAGGATGTTCTCACTTTAGGCCACAGGATGTTAATCTTTGGCAACTAAATGTTTCACAATGTGCAACAGTATTTACGTAACGTCTGGTATCCACCAGTAACTGGGAAACACACTTATGAAGTCCTTGGGTCACTGCACAGGCTGCAACAATGAGAGCATGTGATCTCATAGATTTGATTTTGTTGAGTTGTTCTTAAGATTACTCACACCCTACACAACAAAATGGATTCACCAAACATTTTGTCTTGCAATACTGACTGTACAATCATTTTGTGCTGTAATAATTCCACTGTGCAATACTCTGGTTTACTCTGGCATTCATATTGCATTTATTTATACTGTACACTTAATACTAACAGTCTTGTTTATTCATACTATTCTTGAATGTTTACACACTTAATCATGGATCGCATTTTTCATCATTATTCTTATCTCATCTGTTAGATATTTCTTCTTTCTATTTGACCGCATTTATTGTTGGTATATTGTAGTATAATGCACTTATTTAGTCATACTTGCACCATGGCAGTTTTCCAATTCCTGTTTGTACAATTGCATTTTTTTATGAAGTTGATGTTACAATACAACTGTCTATGCTCTGGCACACGGCATATTATTAAGCTTCAAGTCTATTGTCTTCCAATTTCTTCTGGTAGTTTTGTTGCTAAACTCATCAAGTGTGACACTGATAGAAGACCAGCCGCTGCTAATGTGCTACTGATGTGCTGCTGCTTTCAATATTGGCTGGTGCTGACAGGGTTTTGGTGTTCAATTAATCAAACGAGCTAGGTCTTAACCTAACTGTTGTCGCAACAACAACAATCGCATATTAGAGTTCCAGTCCGATTATTTAGCTAGGCCTAAAATAATAAAAGAAATGTATTGAGTATTTTTCCTATCTTAATTCAAGAGCATGTCTTTTCAATTTGAGAGCGTGCTTTATTGATTTCACGTTCAGATTTTATAATGCTGTCCTCGCACTCCAATACCCTGCTCGCGCTTGGATTTGTTCCACTTCTTCTCTAACTGAATACTTGCACGAATATATAATGTTGCTGGCACGGAAATCTTTTGCTTCAGCTCTTCTACTCATACTGTGTGCTTGTGAAACGTGTCTTCTCAGATTTCTACTATGCTCTAGGATTTTCTGTTGCAATAATCCTTTCATAATTCCCCAACCAATAGAATGCCAGGTGTAGTGTTGACCAATGAAATGATCCCTGCCCAAGGCCTGATTATTGCTTTCTTTACCACTTTTGGAATAAAAGGACAGTATATATATATCAATGCTCTGCCCAAACATTTTTCTTTTATTATAAAAGCTACTCTGCACTCTTGTTGGACCTCATGATTCAAAGCTCAGATCCGTATTACCTTGTAGGTCTCCCAGTTTCTAAAGAAGTTCACGGAGCCATCCTGACGTCTCTGAATGACAGTCCAGCCACCAGGGTCATGTCTCTGGTCACACCAAACCTGCATGAGTTGGTTGCCGTTGTCTGGTTTCAGGAGGTACATGCCGCTCGTGGTGTATCCGGCCTCCAGACCCTCTAGACAGTCTTTGAAAGGACCTGCAGGAGAGACGGAATGCTGACCAAGAAAGCTGTATACTGCAGTATCAAAAAGTATCAGACACTGCAACATCAAAACCAATGGTAGAACATTTGGTCAAAGGGCTCCTGGAAAAGAGAAGTCACCGTTGACCAAGTGTAATATGTGCCAAATATGACTAATGCTTTCCAGTCCCCGTGATGCTGGCAGCAGTAAATATTACAGTGAGCAAAACTGCACTGCATTTCTTAGTAACTACAGAGGACATCAGATGTAAACAACACATTTAAATGGCTATACTTTATTCAAATCTCATCACACCATTGTGTACAGTACAGTAGTTACTGGTGTCATTTGTCCACCTTGGAAAGCTTCATTTTGCAGCGTTACTGTAAAACACTGCTGGAAAAATGTATGTGTGTTTGAGAAGAGTAAACACCAGGGTGGGGTATATCTATTTAAATCTTTTATTGAAAAAGTGTTGCAACGTTTGAAAATTGCATCGCTGCCGGTATGGATAGTTTTGCAGGTATTTAGAAGAAACCTTTCCACAGTTTTGTGAAATCAAGGAGAATGTGTGTCCACTGCAGTAATAGACCTCAGAGGACGACATCTACTTACCAGAGGGCTCGCTGGTAAAGCTGTACGTCGCACTCGGCATTGTGGCCAGCGGAAGTGGTAATGCTTTGGCGTTCTGGTCATTCTGTATCTCATTAGTCATGGGGTTGTTGGTGTGGCGGGGGTAGGTGGGTGGATGGTAGGGTCTGTAGCCTCCAGGAGACAATGGGGGCATCTGTATAGGAGGCTGAGGGATCACGGGAGGCTGTGGATGCGCAGGCCGGCTCCTGTCCTGCACCACACCATACGGGTATCCTCCCCGCTTACAGTGCTCCCCCAGCTGCACCAGGAGAGCACTCTGGTTGTTTGCGATCGCCGACAGATGCTGGTACTTGTGTTCCAGGTCGCGGTAGCGTGAGGCTAGCCGGCCCATCTCGTGTGTGTGGTTGAGCACGCGTGTCTCCAGCTGTGACGCCTCCAGAGCAGTGTCTCGTTTGCGTATGATCTCGTGCAGCAGCTGCATGTACAGCTGCGTGACTCTGGAGTTCATGTTGCGGCTCTCTTTGCGCAGTAGCTTGACTTCGTTGACCACCCCCTCATCCACCTCCACCAACTGCTGCAGCGCTTCTATCTGCCCCCGCTGCTTCTGCAGCTCGCCGTTGAGCAGCTCCAGCTCCTGCTTATTGACCCGGTTCTCCAGCAGGGCCTCGGGCTCCTTGGAGTTCACACAGATGGCCCCATTGTTTTTCTGCTGGGGGACAATAAAGGTGTAGGAACATTTGTCCGTTTGGGAAGCGCTGTGGTCAACCACGGCACGTTTTTGACGCTTCGGTGCATAGAAGATCTCTCTCTCCAAGATCTCGTCGCTGTTCCCGACTTCCTGAGTGTCTCCCTGGATAGAGGACTTAGGTCCAGAGAGCAACAGGAGCACCAGCAAAACCACCACAGGGAGAATCATAGTCCTGCTGCACCTAAGCCAAGATGATTTCTGAAAGAGAGGGGGGAAGAGATTATCAGTAAATGTCTATTCTCTCACAACATTCACTGACCGCCATCGACCGTATATCTGCCTGGACGATTATTGGCGATCATTTTCACAATAATCAAAGACGTTTTTTTCTAGCTCATTGCTGATTTAATAATTTCAAATATGTGCTACTTTGGCTCTGATGCAGCCTCCTCTCTCTGTCTGTAGTCACCCCTCTGTATCCTCGCTCAGTGTCCGGTCCACCGCAGTATCTGATTGGTTGTTCATCACAAGTAATAGCCTATCAACACTACTAAAGAAGACCTTTGCCACAGATGGGACGTAGACTGGAATTGTCGCGGTGAGTGAGTGGAGCTATGTCTAAGGATGCCGATAAGTTGCAATGAACATCACAATTCCCTATGCTGAAGTTGCAACCAGACATGTGACCCTTGACCCGATTATCATAGTTTCTAAAGATGCAGCGCAGCTATGATGCAGATATTTCATACTCCAGACGTACACGCGGACCTGCCGATGCTCATTCGACCCGACGTGTTCCTATGAGACAGCCGCAACTCTGTTTGTCACTGTTAGAAGAGAATCACTTAACTGATAATATACATGCAAAGACTGAGAAGGTGTCGGCATGGGAATCATTTCCCTCTCTTCCTTTTTAAGATAACGTTACCGATAACGATAAAGGTCTCTTTTGCAGCATTCAATTAAACATCAGCAAATACTAGACAAGTTTGAAATCAAACTCCGAGGTGCAATGGTTTTAAGATTCCTGCTCTCCTGTTTGGCCAACCAGAGTTAAAACATTGCACATTGCAGATTCTATAACGTGTCTGTACATGAACATTTCAACAAAGTTTTATGGTGGAGTTTGTGTTCTAAATTTTGAGACAAAATTGTAATGTCTACCACAAAAGTTAATATCGGTATTTGGTGTCCTTGATTAGTAATAATCTATATCTGTATCATCCCTGAAATAATGAAATCAATCAACTCCTAAGCCCCATTACATCATTTTGAGCAGATTTGACATTTACAGGCCCACTGACTGGACTTCACTTTAGCTGCTGTATTCTGGAGACGCTAACGTTAAAACCGAACTCTTCTTTACTTCCCTCGAGTCAACAAGCGACGATCGGTCCTCGGGAACGCTGTGAGCAGCACATGCCGAACAGCAACGCCCCCGAACGGCACTGGTCTTTACTAAAAGATCTGACAAAGATGGATTGCTGAAGCCAACGTGTTCCTTGTTTCCAGGCTCGTCTCAAAGCTCGTATATTGGCCAGCGTGTTTTGATGATTCTCTTGGTCTTCAGGGGAAAAGCTCTATCACAGCATCGGAATGTTCACCGACACAAAACACACATCGTCAGTCATGAGTGGACCAGAGGTGTTACTTTTTATGATAGACTAAATATCCCAGCAGCTCTGCATAAACAAATGAAGGATCCCTAAATTAGTTTTTAAAGGTTCCCTCTTCTTTTACATGTAGGTTCCCGTTTTGTTTGTCTCATGCACACTCATGAGGACGCAGGTGCACGTGCGCACTCGTAACTCGTATGGCTAATGCCAATAGTTCCAGGGACATGTTTGCTAAGAGTTGCCTCTTTTTCACATCCAGCCGACACAGAGCAACATTATCATTGATGTTTGTTTCCACATGATGAATCGAAGTTTATTGTTCACTCGCTAAAAGCTCTGTTTTGGCCTCCACCTACTCCTGAGGGCAATCCGCTATGTTCACCAGCTAGTCTCTAACTGTGTCTGTTTGGTGCTGAGCAGGCAGTGGACAGAGGGGCTCTGGAGCTGTTAGAGCAGGACATGTTGCAGTGTAAAGATCAACTTCAGTTCATGGCATTGTTTGTTTCTGTAAACCAGGAGAAGGTGAATGTCAACGTTTCTGAAAGTCTGTTTCCTATCAGCCTGGTGGCACGCTTGCAAAAATGCACAATGACACATGGTTAACATTATTGATTCGATTTAAGCAACAAAAAGGTAACAACTTAACAACCATAACAATGTAACTAGCCTAAATAAACAACGGCCATAGCGGACTTTCCTACGTTATGTTTAGTCACGGCGCTATGTAACAAGAGCAAAGTTTACTTTGGGTCTCACACAGGACATGATCAGCGGCCTCCTGGGAGAAAGGGAGGAGATGAGCAGAGGGGCATTCAGTTCACCACTAGAGGCCACTAAATCCTGAGCACTGGACCTTTCTAAAGCTCTGGAAAGATTGCATTGAGGGATATGAACAGTAAGGAAGAATTCATATTCATACAAAGGGTGTGACATGTGGAATTCTTCATTTTGCACAACTATGAAATGATAAGCATTCCGAGGACACGTCAACTAACTAACCAACTAACTATTGCTTTTGTCAGTTGTAACGGTTCAGAGCATTACTATGGCAGCAAACCACTATTATATGTGAAGATAAAGAGGTAAACACAGTTAGCTCTTTCAGCACTTTCTCCATAGTTAGCACTGTTAGCACCGCTAGCCATGAGCCGCTGGCTCGCTGTCGACATGTGGAGAGGCAACGAAATGCTCCCAATCTGCTCCTGCACCTGTTAGTTCAAATTGAACTAAACGGCGCTCCAGTTTGTCCATTAGCTGTTCTAAAGTAGAATCTGCTTCTATTTAAGCCCGAGTTATTTTTCTTTTCTTTCAGTGTCGCGTCTGCCTCATCATTCAAAGCTGTATCAGTGCTGATGTATAACAATATCAACTCGGGCTGCAGCGTGGAGGAAAGATGCACGCTGGAGTGGTTGAAGTGGATTTGCATCACGGTTTGCACTGTGAATTAATCACGTCTAAAAACAGAGCACGGCGAGTCATTTGTTCACATTAGACAAAAAGAGGGCTCATTACCCAAATGATATGCATGCTGGGAAGTAAACCAACAAGGCAACAATGTTCCCAAGATAGTTACGTTGGTGAGGGATGTGAATGAAGTGTGGAGCTCCACACCAGTGTAACTACTGGCTGCACAAAAACACTTGCCGTACTCTTCCAGAACAAAGTGTGGACTCTACTCCTGACTATACATAGGAAGACGGTAAACTAGTGATTGATGAGAGGACAGTGACTGTAAGTGTCACTCATTAAACCACACCAACACAGGTCAGTCAGAACAAAGTCATGCTGTGCAGCAAATCTTTCTTCAGAACTTATCAAGTGTGCCAGGCTTAAAAAAAGAAATATGCACATGACTTCTATAAGAGTCTTTAGTTTAAATATGTTATAGAGATGTAAACCATGCTGTCACAGAGGATTAGGTGTATTTTAACATCCTTAAAGGGGAGCAAAGGGACAGAAAACAGTGTTAAGGGTAAAAAATATTTGTCAATGTTAGCATAGTTCTCACAGAGCACGATCCAGTATTCAGTGTGTTGCATATAAAGAGAGTCAGTAATTGCCCCACTCACCTCCACTTGTCTCCGTTTCCTTAGACTCCCTCTCTAGTCAGTCTCTCCTCATTTCCTCCACTTCCTCGTAATATTCCTGTTACCTGCTGACAGAATCGATGCTCTGTGAAGAGCAGAAAGAGTCCGGCTGTGATGACGTGTTTTAATCAGTCCCCACGTGTCCAATCGAGCAGCAGCAGGAAACGGTTCTTCCTGTCGTAGTTCAATTCATCAGCAGCAGAGGGTTTGTCTCCACCTTTAAGACATCTCCTGTCCCTCAGTTACAATCTGTGTCTCGTCCTCCCAGAGACTCGACCACTCTCCGTCTTCTTGCCATCACAAGTGAGACACTTCTTCTTTTTTTTTCTTGAAGTAATTTAGCAGTGAGCTGCGGCGACGCCCCCTTTCCCCTCCCCTTGACAACAGGGAGAGAGTGGAGGAATTAGACGGAGGCTCCCAGTCCTCTCACCCAAACCCTTGTCCCCTGCAGCCCTCCTGTTTTTCCACTGCTCCCCCCCGAGCGGACCCAGGACTCCGTCTGTGGAGGAGACGTTGAGGTCACAGGTTTGGAGCATGTGGGTCTTGACCTGTACTCCCTGAGGGAATCCACAGGAAAGAAGTGTTTTACGTTACGTCTTCTCCTGTTTTTCCAGCACTTTCAATGCATTGATGGTTGATGTCATTTATATAACAAGGATTATGTATTAGAGTTACCAAACGTCCCCTCTAGCTGGTCTCCTGTGGCCACCAAGTTAACCAGGTCTCTCTTGAGAATGAGAACGTGTGTCTCGATGAGATTACCTCTAAATAAAGGTTGATTAAGAAAAAAAAGAAAAATCTCCCATATTGCAAGCTTTCTCCAACTCAATGTTCCACAAACCTCCGCAGGGTTTTTGCCCCGTCTGGCCTGACTTGCGTCCCTGCCGGGCTGAAGCATCGTGGAACTTTTTTAAAATTGGTTTTGGGGGATTTCTGCTTTATTGGATTACGATGGCTTAGAGAGAGAGTGGGTGTGAGTGCGTGAGAAGATGAGTGAAGTCAGCAGTCACTTTACAGCGATGAACAGCAGTACAGTGTGTGTTCATTTGTCAGTGAATAAATGCTACCACTCCTCAAGAACCCAGACTATTTCCCGTGTCTTGCTACCTGCTGATTAAAGTGAAGGCTCGTGTGTTCTACGATATGACGCTGTGGCTCAGTGGAGTCGCGTTGGTATGGTGGCACCCGGCATGGTAGCCCTGCCATCACTGTGTGAATGGGTGAATGATGACAAGTAGTGTGAAAGCGCTTTGAATGGTGAGAAAGAAGAAAAGCACTCTACAAGTACAGTCCATTTACCATTTACTTCTCCTTTTTTAAACCTGCTTGACATGCACGTGCAGAATAACACGGCGGTGCGACACATTTCCCGGCTGCCTGTTTGACACTGTTTCAACACGCCATGAAACGTGAAGCGTCAACAAAAGACAGCGAAGAAGACTGCTTGCCAGTAAACATGGATGTAAAAAAAGGGCTTTCAAAACAGCTTTGCAAAGGTTCTATGTGGAGGGAAATGCATTCAACGTGTCCATTACGCCTCAAGGAAACACGTGGAGAGAAAATGTAAATGTATGTTTTCGTTGACGAAGGACACCTTTTAAGATTGTATTCCATCCAAAAAGCGAGAGCTAAATATTGATTTCTAAGCAAAAATGAATTTGATTTCCTCACCTCATTCAGACTCCTATGATCCTTGACTTTAACAGCAACAGAAGGTTGAGTTGGGTATTTTCAGTCCATTACTGTCTTTAGGGCAGCTCTTACATGGACTCTCTCTGTCTCTGAGGAACCAGGCAGAGACTGTCTATTCTCAGTTTGGCTGGAGTTTGTTATGTTGTCATAGTAATTTACTGCAGACAAACCCTTTTCTAAACGCATTCAGTGGCTTTGTGTTTTTGATTGCGTGTGATGTATGATGGGCTTTTATCCCTGGATCAACACAAGTGCTCTTTGTCTCAGAGAGAGTCAGATGGTTATGCTTTGAGACATTTGGAGAAACTCCTCTTCGGGGAAGCGATGCTCGTGTTGATTTGTGCTGTCGCTTTTAGTCCTGTTCGGGGAACTTTTTCAGAGGGTTTAACATCACGCTTGCAGCTTCAAATGAGCTGTATTCCAATCACAAAGTGGCAGGTTCTTCTTTTAATATAGTGGAGTAGGGGGGGGGGCTGGATAATTCTTCCCACCAGCAAGAAGCTAGTACAAGATATGGCTCAATAGACTTTCTTTATATTTCTCATTATGTCTCAAAAGTCAACATCGTGTTTGACAAAAGACACTGAAAGGCTCGCCGGCACAATAACAACATCACCGTCAATTCAAAATCCCCAACGGAAACACGATGATACCCTTTTAAGTGCGGTCATGCGACGTCCAAGCGGAGCCCATCCAGAAGCAGCAGAGCATAATACCACAGAGTGGTTCCTTCCTTCCTCTCTGTGTGTGTCCTAACAAAGGGACAATCTCTGGACTTCTTGCGGTGGCCTTTGTATGTCGGGGCAGTCCCGTGTCTTTTCCTTTCTGTGCACAGGAGGACGTGTCCCAGCCTGTGACCATCCAGGCTCTGTCTTCTCTATTCAAGTCCCACAGTCTGCTCTGATGGGCCTGATGATGACCTCCAGCAGCAGGTAGTCAGGAAAGAAGCAGTGGGCGGTGAACCACCTGTCCTGCTGCAGCTTCATTTAGACCACCATTCAGCAGAGACGAATAGCTCCATTAACTCTGTTGTTGAATGCTAAAGCAGAACATCACTTACAGGAAGTGATGCACTTCACATCTCTGCAGGATTAGTAGGAGTCGAGAGAGCCACCACGACTTATTAGGGTTGTCCAATAAAACGTCAACAAAGTCAACGTGGGAAAATGAGCTACATGAGTAAAATAGGTTATATAGGTAAGTCAATATTTGAAACGTACATAAGATAAACAAATAGCATAATAAGTAAGTACTCGTTAAGTCAATAAAGTAAACAAGTGGGTAAGTCCCTAAGAAAATATTTACAATAAGTAAGTTAGCCAAAGTAAGTGTACAAGAAAGTAATATAGGCAGCAAATAAATACGGGCATAACTAAGAAACATAGTAAATAAACTAGTATAACTACTAGAACACTAGTCCACTTTTAGTGGTCTAGTGACAGTGTTGTAGTTTGTTTGTAGCCTAGCGTTAGCTTTTTACGTACAGGTATCATTAACTTGTGTTTGCCATGGAGCTTATTTCCTGCAATAATCCAACAGAAGAATCCCATCGTCTGTCGAGGGAACCAGCGCCATGCTAAGCTCCTGGTCGGCCCTGCAGCGCTCTATGAAGCTAAACCCAGGAACACATCTCCCACATTGTCACACGAAGAGACAATACACATGTTATTCGTTCTGCGTGTGAAGCACCAGTGTTGTAACCCGAGTGACAGAAGTGGCAGATCTGTTGTGTCTGAATGGAAGAATGAGGCCGGGCCTCGCTGTGCGTCAGAGAGGCAAGGAGACGGGAAGCAAAGCTGCACAGCTGAAACACATTACACCCCGCACTCGTACGTCTACCAGGATGACATCATCGACAGCTACGTGTAAAGCGACTGGTGCTGTGTTATGCAGATGTAATATTTATGCCGGAGCTGCCAGCACAGCTGATATCATGGACAGCCGGTACATCGCACTGGGATTTTGGGTGTAGCACGGAGAAGAATGCAGCAGGCTGTGGAAATGTTTTCAGCCCAATAGGAACCGATTTGTAACTCCTGGACATTTTTCAAGGCAACGTTTTATTTTATTTCTCATCTTGATTGTAACTGAGTTATTTTGCCGTGTTGGCAACATGTGAGGTGGTTGGTGGGACAGAAGTGAGTCTTCAGACTTGTTTCTCTCATCATTACAGGCGCAGCCTAAAGCTCGGAAACACTGCCTGAGGTGCCGTCCAGTGTTTCCAGCCCTGGTTTCCATCTGCCCTCATCAGTGGAGCTCCACTTTCACATGTTGGCATTAGCGCAGCCAGCACACCTCTTGTAAACTCTGTGTAATAGTTAATGATGGAGGTTCCCTGCTCCACTCAGAGGCCCTGTCCAGGGAATTTGCCTGGCCACAGGCCTCCCCTGACATCTAATAGTTCTAAACTTTGATTGGCTATCTGCCCAGCCAGAGTCGGGACTTGGATCCAACCAGCTGTTTGACAAGTAAACCAGACTTTTGTTTATTGGTGCATTTCAGTCTTAACTTTTAGCTCTATTTAACGTGCAGCTCGTTACATGTTCAACATTCACATCTTTACTCTTTGTATCTGATAACACTGAACCATATAGATATGGTATTTTTTTTTTTTTTGAAGGGGGGTATTAGTTATAACACAAATACTAGTCGCAGAGAAACTAAACGAACCGGGTCTGTCCCCGATGTTAAATACGAACAAATCGCCTATTAGCCACTCAAGATGTTTCTCACTGCCCTGCTCAAGAATTCTATCACTCTATGAAGACGTCAGGTGACGTATTATAAATAAAGTACATAACGCAGGACTTTCACCCAGGAGACACGTGTTCTTGTCTAATGTGAAACCAAAAGTCAACGTTGCCTTGTTTTAAGTTGCATCTGTAAGTAACTTAACTCATCAGACTTCCGGTTGATGAAAACCACTAAAAGGCGGCAATTCAAATGTCTTCTTCAAAACAGCAGCTTCAGTGGTGTCAATCCTCTCCAGGATTGACACCACTGGTAGTTTGAAGAGGTAGTTTGAATATTTTCAAACTACCTCTTCTGAACTCTTCCACACTCACCAAGTCTCACTATTTTATTATGTTATATTTCATTTCATTTAAGGCTGGTGATATTTTCTATTCTCTTCCTTTATATTTCTTCTTGTCAACAAATCTCATGTGCAGCTCCAAACAGTGGATTGTATCTACTGAAAGTATTGTGTGTTTATTATCACAGGCTGATACTTGATTTGATAGTTTAATATGAAAACAGAGAAAAGAACAAGACTTTTTCTTTCAGGCACAAAACTTTCAAATAAATCAAAACATCAGTCCCACCTTGACCTCTCAGAGACCTGTGAGGAAAGTGCATATATTTCCTCTGAAGTAGTATTTTTTTCTTTTCTTTTTTTTATAAACCACATTTATTTGATCTGAAACGGCCATTTTTATGACCAAACTGCAAGCAGAAAGTGTCTACTCTGTTTCTCTTTGTGGTGCTGACCGTGATGCAGTGGTTCATACCTTATGACCCAAAATGAGTTTTGCGTCGGTCTGTTGCTTAAGTATCTTGTGTGAGTGATGTTAGAGCGCCTCACTGCACACGTGGTGCTGGTGGTCACAGTGCATAGAACGGTTTAGGTGCAGAACCTACAATTAGAGATTTCTCAACATGTTGCATCATTGTGAAATGCGCTGATGTCATGTGTTCTGTCAAGCTCAGTTTGAGAAGGATAAGGAATGCAACCATAACAAATATTTTCTTTATTTTAAGATCAATAATACACACACACACACACACACGCGCAGTGTACTTTAGTTAATAGTCCATTCCATGAAAAGTTATGGATATTTTTTTTGTGAAGATTTAGGAAAAGAGGAAAAACCCTTTTTTAGTCTTCTTCAGTTGTGCGTCACTTTTAAAACATGTTTTTTGAGGATCTTTTTGTCGGATCACCACGCCTGCCTTGTTAATAAAACACAGTCATGCTCGACTCTCCATGATTGCACAATGAAAACAGAGCAGCCGGGCTGTAACAGGGAGACCCCTGGAGTTATGGAGTGTATTCAGAACTGCAGCAGCTTAGTGGGTTTCAAGTTCTTTATCACATGCACAACATTTACAGAGAAGCAGTTGTCTTAGAGCTCAGGTTCACTCCAACTAAGCTCATTAAATATGTAAAAACAAAAAGCGAATCTAAGTAGAAATAAAAGTAGGAGAAAAAAGGCCAAAATATAAATCCTATACAAAATGAGTGACAGGACTTTAGTGGACTTGTTTTTTCTTGTCTGCTCGTATGTTGTTATGGTAAAGACTAGTTAGTCAGATGATCGCTGTGGTTGTATGAGGAGCTTTTAACCTCTTCTGCTCCTGAGATTACTCTCGTACCTCAAACTGGCTCTTCATGAATTCACTAAAATGTGTTATTAATATGATGCTCAAAATGTGTGATCAACATGGTTCTTATACAGTATCCCTTGAATACTGACACTCCCCATCTGTTCATGTTTTGAAACGTAATGCCGGCATATTTCTAAGGGGAAGTGTAGGACATGTAGAGTACCAGTTAAAGACCAAACGTTG